AAAAAAGGAATAAGGCGAGGAGGTTAGAGCAATGAATCAATTGATCATTTTTCATTGAAACGATAATCATCACTTGAGATGCATCAGATAGATGCATATATGACATGCAGAGGAGAATAAGTAGCTTAATAAAATAGTTATGTTTGCATTTCTCTGTTAAAATTACCTTGCATTTCATGTCACGATTTTGTCTTCGGTTTTGGCAATACATGAGTAATTCCTTTCTCTATAAAATGAATTATTGAAATTTATTTCTACAAAATACAGATACCTTAGGGGCCGGTATAATCCTGTTAAAAAGCATTCGTTGAGAGTTTTATATCGCCTCGAACTGGAATGTCGATATATGTCGATAATCGATATCGCATATAGATATATATAATCGAAAGAAATATAGAAACGGCGTTTATCGTATGGACGGTGAATACGAAATCTCAATCGCTCTGAGGATATATCATAGAAATCGTGCTTGTCTTTTATTTATGCATTTTGATATTCTCTATAGGTTAGAATTTTCGCCTTATGATGGAAATATTATATTTTATTATTACGAAAATCAAGTAAAGCAATAGTCAGAGTGCCCGTCGCCAAAAAAGTTTATGACAGATACTCTCCAAACTTTGAGTATCGCTTCATTATGCCCGAGTCTAACACGGTATTGTTCTGCGGCTTTTTTGGTTCTGGGGTGTTTTTCCTTTAATTATCTCGAAACATTTCACCCGTCAGACAGAAAAATCGAAAAACAGGTTCCGTCAGACAATATGAAAAGTTGTTTTTGCTGCTTTTAATGGAAGCATCCTGAAAAAATTAGCTGGTTATCTAGGAATTCATCACAATAGTTTTTTCTGACATGTTCGAGTCCTCAGACGTGTTGAATGATCTATATTTATCATCAGACAATTTTATTTTCGTATTTTTCTTATAAATTTTAAGCTATTTATATAAGTTAGAATTTATACTTGATGAAGTTATTCTTTTTTCTTTCGAGGTTCCATGGATATATTACTTGAAAATAAAAGGTGAAATATTTTCACCGGAATGTAGTACTGATTCTGTACATATTGTGTGTTTTCTAAGTTTGTATCTATTATTGAATTAACACATTTAGATGTTTTAAAAATACTAATTCAGCTTATTGTAGAAGGGAAAATAGAAGGCAGGCGTGGCCCGGGTAGACGACAAATGACCTGGCTGCCCAACATCAAAGATTGGACAGGATTAGACTTTCAAAGTTTAATAAGGAAAGCCCAAAATAGGGAAAACTTTGCAGAGGATATCTCCAACCTTCGTTAAGAAGACGGCACCCAAAGAAGACTAATTTCCAAAAAAGATTGTGACATAGATGGAGTATCTATAGAATTTTTCTAACGAGATATTTTCCAAATGAGATGGTGATTTGTATGGGTCAGGCAAATCATAATTAAAGAAGCATTTTCAAAAACAGTTTGCAATCTAGCTTAAGTATCGGTTAATTTCCACGAGGAAACTAAGTTCCTGTAGCTGGCTGTATACCATATATCACAAAAAATTGTTCAAAATCCTTTATAAAAGGTATATAAAAATGCCCCAAACGGGCTATCACAAACACATTGCAAAACGTTTTCGGATTAATCAATCCATCATCAGTGCAAACGGTTGTACATGCTAGTAGCCACCAAAATATATGGGTCAAAACCCTTTAAATGTTTTAAATTTGTAGTTGTTTTACATTATTAGTAGTTATAATATGTGATGTTTAAGTTACCGTTGGATAGGTAACATGGCGGCGTATGACTCTACATGAGTAAAATGGTCCTCAGACAAAGTGTCTACGAGGACCTGTTGATAACTTATCAACAGGTCCTCGTAGACACTTCGTGGACACTCGTAGAAACCAGTATTTTTGAGAACACCACCATCCGATATTCTACTTTTACAACCGACATCTACATACGTAAATTTATAATTTGCATCAACCCCTGCTAAAAGTACAATGCTGAAACTCCCTTTATAATTAAAAAAATGACTTCCAGTATTATTTGGGGCTTGAATAATAATATGTTTGCCATCCAAAGTCCCAATGCAGTGAGGGAAATTCCAAAGTTGGTCGAATTGACGCTCCACCATCATCCATTCTTCTTAAGTATTGGTTATCTAAAAAAGAAAATCTTATTATTGTTTCAGTTAATACAAGAAGAACATAGTACAGTAAATGAAAGTCAAGAATGTTCTCTTGAAAAGCCAGTAAAAAAGTTTAAGGCTCCGAAGAACTCGTTTAAACGTCGTGCGGTCAATGAAGACCCGAGAATTGCCCAAGCTTTGTCCATTATTGACAATGTAAGTAAGCAAATGGATACAAGAATACAAGACAACGACAACATTTTTGCTGTAGCAGTCGCAGCGACATTAAGAAAAATTAAAGATGAGCGAATAAAGATTTTAGTGCAAAGAGACATTGATAGTTTATTGTATGACGCTATAATTGGTACTGGAAAATATGCTACGAATCTAAATTCAAAATAAGTGTTTTGAATAAATGTGCTGCACACTATTTTGGTGAAATCGTACCTTAAGGACCCAATGTCTATGTATGTTTCACCAGTAAGTACATTAATGGTCCCTGATAGTAAGGAAGTATTAAAATCTGTTACAGAAATGTTGGCATCTTTTTGTTCTGAAAAGAAGTATCGTTCGGATGCTGCTGCAGCTGCAAATACCAGTTTGCTGATGTTATCGACAATTAAACTTTTTCCTGGGCTGTCAAATAATTTTGTTATAATTTCTGAAGAGAAGTAGATTTAGTGGTTTGAAGAATCTGCCATTTAAAGGTTACATCTTATATGTGCAGTGTGAATTGAATGGAATCGTATCAACAACAAGCTAATTCTAAAGCGATCATGCTTTGAATATGACTACTACTGTATTTATCTAATACAATTAATACCTTGCTCGTTTTAGCAGGTTTGGTATAATTAATAAACTGACCTAACCAATGATAGAATCCATCAGCATCCATCTATCTTTTATCTTGGTACTTAAATAGAGTTCCTGGGGGTTCTCTTTCCTACGTTTTGGCAAAAATAAGCATAATAGATGCCAGTGGCACTCATTTCGTACATTCCAGTAACATTTTGGCCTCTTTCAACGGACGTTATGGCATCTATCTGGTATTTTTCTCTTTGGGCAATTATTTTCTGTGGCTTCTGGTAACAGTATGAGATGCCCCTTCGGCATTAAAGACACGGTCTGCAGTAATACTATATTTCTTAATTAAGGTCGATTCAGACACATCAGTCACGTCACAGTCACGGTACCGAACCGGTCCTATTTGGTCACAGAACTATCAACTATCTGACAGCTGGGAAACTGTTTGTCAACTGATGAGTGTGAATGCCGGCAACATATTTGTATTAAAGAATATTTTTTATGACGGATTGTCCGATTCGGCGCAATCACTGTGACGAGACGTGACTGATGTGTCTGAATTGACCTTTACTTTTTCATAAACGTCAAAAAACTTATGAAGTCAATTGTATATCATTTAATACACTTCTGTTTTTGCTTTTGATACTGCTATTTACTGCTTTGTTTTAGGTGACCTTATAGTTTTGAAGATCCGTGTCCGATATTAGTATAGCTGCTACTAATGTGTTTATTGTTGACCGAATCAATGCTTTGTTCTTAATATTATTGGACTATATTGAGTCATTTTAGCTGTTTATACAATAAACTACTGTGTATGCCTAAACTCTAACTCATTCACATGTACTGTGTGGACACAAAAACCACTGTACTGTGTAATGCCTTTATTTAACTGATGTTCACTCTCTGAGTCTACAGCCTTATTGATAAAAAATACATTTTGTTACCATAACTATGAAATAACTCTGCTAGTAGCTCTAATGACCAAGTTGTCCGGCTCACAGTAGCGTTCCCTTTTTAATTACAACTATTAAAAAATTATCAACACTGTTTATTAACACAAATTATATATTTTAGGTCAGAAAATGCCGCCATATATTATGGTAATTCACAATAAACACGTCCAATCTTGTGAGAGCTTGGGCCTTATAGGTTCAGTTGACAATATAGAGTTCTACTGGCCTGTTAAGTCCCAAGTTTTTGTAGGAATTTATTACAACAACGGTGCCAAGAATGAAGAAGACAAAAATTCCACCAGTACTATAATAGTACAAACAGAAGATAAAAAAAAACTGTAGAACCAGATAGTATTATTGAATAGGTTTTTAGAATAGTATTAATAAATTTCCATGCTTTAAACACCACCAAAATCAATGAGCAGGTTTGGGGTTTCTTAGCGGCATTTGCCAGTATTTGAATTGCAATGCCCTTGGAAATCCCAAATATGTTCACAGTACCTCGTATTACACACAACTGTTTGTATCCTTATTTTCAATGTATTATATTACAGCCTTATTAAAATGTTACATTACTATAAAAATATATTGTGCAATGATAAATCTTGAATATTATTCTGTTTTAAATTGTTATTTGTTGCAAATTTATTTTCAGATTTATTGCTCTTCCATAATAAATAACATTTACGTAACTATAAAATATTTATTGAATATTTTGTAACTTGTGAAATGAAATAGATAATATATTGATCATTAAAATAACTAATTATAATAATTATTTCATAAACGTCGTAGCGTAATGTATGTTGTCTATCACTTGGTAGGTAGTTGACTGGTAACATAAAATTCCAGCTAGTTTAAAAAGAAGAACCAAAAAAGAAGATTTCTTTAACGTAACCAAGCAAATTAGTTGTCAAAATAAAATATCAAAATTTCAAAAATTATTAATTTTGTAATATTGTAATTTATGTTGTAGATTGTACTTGTACTTGAAGTAACATAACAAATATGTATACCGTACATAAAAAATGCTTTGTTTATTTAACAATTTACATACGATACGTATAATTTTGAAAACACATTAAACCTTTCCTAACAACAGATCAAAGTGAAGTAATTATTAAGATTAGATAATGATTTTACTATTTTAACAGAGATAAGGCAATATGTTTAAAATTCGCATTAACAGTTAACATTCCTTTTAATATCATTTTAAAATGACCTCGAGCAATATTGTAGTAGTTGGCTCTTGCATGATCGATTTTGTTAGGTAAACTAATTATTTCAATTCTTTATAAAATCGTAAAAATGTCTGCATTTCATTTGTAGTTATGCTCCAAGATTGCCAAAAGCGGGCGAGACGATCCACGGAAGAGAATTCGCTACGAATTTTGGAGGGAAAGGGGCCAATCAATGTGTTGCAGCTGCAAAATTAGGTGGAAATACTGCTCTTGTTGCTAGGGTTTGTATTTATTAGGCAATAATTACTTTTTGAAGTTTATTAAATGATAATGAATTTAAAAAGTACCAAAGGTAACTAATGTATTTTGATCGAAGGTTGGAGATGATATCTGGGGTCCTAAGTACATCCAAAACTTAAAATCGCTAAATGTAAACACTGACCATGTTCAAATCACAGAAAACTCTAGTTCAGGAATAGCCCAAATAACTGTTTCTGATGCAGGAGAAAACCAAATAGTTATAGTGGCTGGAGCTAACAATCATCTGAACACTAAGGATGTAGAAGCTGCTCAAGACCTCATTAGTAATGCTGCTGTGTTGGTTCTACAACTAGAGACTGCACAAGATGTTGCTATTAGGGCTATTCAACTTTGTAGAGGGGTAAATAATATAGTGCTAACTTATTCTCATGTGGTTCAAACCTCAATTATATATTTTTAATAGGATAGTGTTACAATTTTATGTTTTTTACTTAAAAACTAAAATGATGGTATTATAAAAATATTTATATTTTAGATTTCAATACTAAACGGTGCCCCTGCTCTTTCAGAATATAATAACCAGATATTGAAACTTCCCACTATATTTTGTGTCAATGAGACTGAAGCTTCAATATTTACAGGTGGATTGCCAGTTACTAATGTCAGGTAAATACCAATATTTTGTAAGAATATTGTTACTAATTGTGTAGATTAATCTAAAACCTTTTTTGATTTTCTGAAATTATCAGACGTAGGCAATTATTTAAGATTTCATCAGCAATTTCTTAGTTTTCTTTCTTAGAAATGTGATATTTGATGTAATAATCACAATATACATTAATTTTGGCTAGTATTGACATATTTATAAGTGGGATTATACATAAATGCCTTTAATGCTGTATCCTTTCTAGTGGAAGGTGACAATGATATATCTTGGAGTTCTGAGAGTCAAAAAGCAGAAAACAGTATGACTTTACTAGGCAAGGGTATTAATTAGTCTCATTGATGTTAGAACTTAGAATTTTCTTACATAATTTATTTGTTTATATATTTAGACGCCGTACAAACACTATAGACTAATAGTAAGTACATGTAAAGTGTTTAAGACAAAAAAAAATACAATAAATGAAAGAAACGAACATTAATAATACAATAAGAAAAAAAAATACCTTAAACCTAGCGCTGATGAGCAAGCAGTGTCTTAAATTCACAGCTTTTTACATTAAATATATCCACATGAGTCAGTGTATTAAATACTTCATTACAAATTTTTAACAAATTGTTTATTGGTGATATGTTTCTATAGTAATTTGTAAAATATAGATCTGGGTCAGTTATCCTTAACCTACTCTTGGGTACTCTAAGTAAATAAACTCAATTAAACCACGGTTTGTGTACTTAATACTGTTAACAGTCAAGCATATGAACATAATGACTTGACTGTTTCTTCTAGTAGTAAGTGACTGCAACTGAAATGAGTCTAATATTACTCTTTCTGAGATCACATATGGATATTTCTTATTTTTCCTTACATATAGAAGTCTTAAAAATCGTTTTTGCACTTTTTTAATTATTTCTGAGTTTGAAAATGCCGTAGATACCAGATGATTGAAGCATATTCCATATGTGGTCTCATCAGGGTATTATAAAGTTTTCTAATTGTGCTTATTCTGAAATTTTTGCCATTTCTAATGACAAAACCCAAAAGCATAATAAGCTCTGATATTTCATAAAAGTGTATGTTAAACTTCATGTTGATTTGGAATTTAACTTCAAGATCCTTCATAACACTCACTATCTCAACTTGATCATTAATATAATAATCTTCAATAACACTATTGAGGTTTCGCATATATGGAACTACTACAGACTTTTTAACATTAAGAGTCATTTCTTATTAGAGATTGTTTTAAAAAGTTTAAAATCATTGGCATACATTAAGCTGTTACAAGATTTATTACAGTCTGGCAAGTCGTTAATAAATAAAATAAAGAGCAATGGTCCTAGTTTGCTCCCCTGTGGGACTCCTGAGGATGACACATATTGATGAGATAAGCAATTACCTACTTTTACTGTAATCTTTCTATCTGACAAATAAGATTTTAATATATTAAAAGCTTTTCTTGAGAAACCAAACCGTACCAGTATATTTAAAAGAATACAGTGATTTACCTTACCAAATGCTTTTTCGCAATCAGTATACAGAAGATCCAACTGTTCCCCTGCCTCAATAGCCTTAGCAATATGTTCAGAGAGAACACGGAGATTAGTTACTATTGATTTGCCTCTTACAAAACCATTCTGGAATTTGCTGATTTTGCTCTTAACATACTCATATATATCGTCATTAAGAATACTTTCAAAAGCTTAGCAAAACTATTTAACAAGCTGATAGGCCTGTAGTTTTGAATGTAATTTTTTTATCTTTTCTATGTATTGGAGAAATTGTTGCCACTTTTAAAATATCTGCAAAATATTCCTGTTCAATCGATATATTAAACAAAAACGCCAGAGGTTTAGCCAAGTGTCGGCCATTCCGTTATAAATATATGGTGGTATTTCATCAGGGCCTGTAGATTTTTTGGGTTTAAATTTTTTAATACTATTTAACTGAAATAACTTACCTGATAGGGTATTGTCCTGGTAGAGCATTTTCCTTAGCTTGGAGATTCTTATTGTCAGTTAGGCTGGTATATTGCTGGTATATATTAAAAAATAATTGTTTTTACAAAATATTTCTGAATATTGCTTCATATTTCTCACAATATTTTTGTTCTAAAAAGGTTTGTTGTGACATGTTAAACCACAATTGATTGTAATGATATTTTTGTTCTTTTATATGTTTTCTCATGTTTCATAATAATCTAATACTAATTATTTTAAATGAAACACTGTAATGAAACATTTATTTTATTTTAGTGAGGCTGAAAAAGCTGCTCAGGACCTAATCTGTAAAGGCTGTAATAGTGTACTTATAACTTTAGGTAGTCAAGGAGCACTATTTGTAAATAAAAACGAAAAACTAGTCGTTCCTAGTCCCTCAGTGAAAAGCGTTGACACAACAGGAGCAGGAGATGCTTTCATCGGAGCTCTAGCTTACCTTCTTGCCAATGATAAAAGTATACCGATGCAAGAGGCCTTGGAAAAGGCTTGTATAGCTGCTAGTGATAGTGTTACAAGACCTGGTACACAGATTAGCTTTCCTGGACCTGATGTATTTTCAAAGACTTTGTGAGCCAAGAAAATGGTTTAGAGCATATTCTACAAGTAGCAAGGAATGATCCTAGTCTGAGTATCTTCCTGTTTTGGCACTAAATGCATGTTCAATAGCGTAATTTGAATACTATGAGTTTATTGAAGTATTCTTTTTTCACAGTTTTGTTCACAGTCCACAAGTAATCATATTAAGTAAAATAAAACTGCCACAAGATTATTTTACTTCTCAGTTTTGTTTCTGTCTTGTTTATTTGATAAAATATTACATATAATGTATCCTTAAGTATGAAAAATCTATGTAAGCTGACGAAATGAAAATAATTAAAAAAAAAAAAAAAGGAATGCTCCAAATGAACATCTTTGAGCGCAACAATATTGGGTCTATTTTTTAATCAATTCCGAAGTTACTTGTTGAATATTAATCCTTTATACACTTTTACATAGTACTTAATGTTGATTAATAGACAGGGTGTTTTTTATTTTAGTTTTTAACAGTTGTTATGTACTTAAATATATGATATTTTTATTGAAAAAATGTTTTTAATTAAATGACTACTTTTATTCTGTTGTTTGTTATTTCCCTATCAAAGTATCTGTTAAATTTCCGACGAAGTATCCTATCAGATTACAGGTGCTTAATTTATTTTCATAAGCAAGAGGCTGAAAGGTTTTGCCAGACTACAGCGGAAAGGAGTACCGGATTCTCGATAATAATAATAATAATTTATTCATCGTGGAAGATCATTTACATGATATAGGATAAGTCGAATAAAAAAATATAAATACATTCTAAAACATCACAATTTCAGAATAAGAGGATAAAAAATACATAGAATTAATTATTTACATCACCATATATTCATTTACACTATAGAAACAATTTTGCAATAGAAAAGATTTTAATTTACTTCGAAATTTATTTAAATTTATTTCAGATTTAATACTGTTGGGAATATAATTGAAAAGTCTTATACCCATATAATACTGGGATTTCTCAAGCCGTGCTGTATTATGTTTTGGTACTCTGATGAGGTCATTTTGCCTAGTTTGGTACTGATGATAATCAGAGTTTAAAGAAAAGTAGTTATATTGGCTTTTACATGTAGTATACATTTAAATATATATATATATATATATATATATATATATATATATATATATATATATATATATATATATAGAAGGTACTGTTAAAATGTTGTATTCTTTAAAATATTGTCGACATGAATGCCTATATGGCAAATCAAAAATTAACCGAATTATCCTTTTCTGACTTTCAAGACGAACACTATTGCAGCATTACCCCAAAGATTTATATTGAAGGTTAAGTGAGAATAAACATTCAATAACTGTTCCTTTTTAAGAAAGCTTTTTAATAACTACTATTTATTCTTTTGCAAACCTGAATAATTTGAGATTCCCAGCTCATGTTTGTTGAACTGAATATAAGTATAATATAACATTCAGTTCAACAGTTAATTCCTCGGCACTTGAAGCAGATGTAGCAATGGTTGTGTCATCTGCATACATAAATATGTTATTTGAACTAACATATCTGGACATATCATTAATATAGCATAGGAATATTAATGGCCCCAATATTGAACCCTGAGGAACCCCAATATCACCATAATTTGATCGTGTATCGCTAAGTTTAACGAGAATCTTCCTAGAATGTAAATAAGATGACAGCCATAATGCGAACTGACTCCTAAAACCAAGATTTTTTAACTTCTCTATAGCAACTCTTACGTTTTACGTATCAAATGCTTTTGAGAGATCAAAGAAAAGTGCCCCCACAAAATCTCCCCGATCCAGTGCAATGTGAATGAAACTAAGCAATTCAGGGGTAGCACTCTCTGTTGATAACCTGAGCGGTGATATTTTACCCCTCTTATCTATGATTTTACCAGAATGAAAAGTGGAGGAGCACAAATAGTACACTCGATCGTCCTCTATGCGGCGCCAGTCTAGAGTGGGGCGGAAGAGATAACTGCCTACAGAAGGCTCACGACGCGAGTGGAAAGAACAAGTCTGCTGCGAGTGGCATGCGCCCACATGACTATCTGCGCAGCCTTATGAATCATCACTGGATATGTTCCTCTGTGTAGGCAGTGAGAAAAAAAGGATATAAACCTTAATATTGATGAGAAAAGACAAGAAAGGGAAAGGTCAATTGAAAGATGGCAAGAAGAATTGGACAACAACACGGAGGATGTGGCATAGTTGACAAAACGCTGATCCCGAACCTGGATTATTTCCTAACGCAGGTATTCACAGGACAAGGGTGTTTTAGGGTCGACCTCTCAGGTTGACACAGACGAATGCCTATACTGTGGACACTGTGACATATACGACGTTAAAGTCTAACAGATGGATAGTTGAAAGGAGTATAATGGAAAGAGATACAGGTGTGAATTTTGTGAGAGTGAGAAAATAATTGGGACACCTGGGAATTACATTGTCTATCTATGGAGGCCTGGACAAAGAAGTGAGAGCTCAAGTACAAAAAGCAAATAGACTGGCAGGATGCCTTAATAAGACTATATGGCGAAACAGACCCATTAACACTGATGAAGTAAAGAATTTATAAAGCGAGACCAAGGAAGTTCTTCGTGAAAGAAATATAAATAAAAATGAATCGTTTCCAAGACGAAGAACTCCATGGTTTTGTACAGAAGTAAAGGAAAAGTGTAAAGAAAAGAAAAAAGCTTACCTGAAATACATGTTAACTAAAACACAAGAGGCATACCATAATTATAAGACAATGGAAAACGAAACACATGCATTTGTAAGAAAAATAAAAAATGATAAATGAAAGAAATGGAACATAATTTTTAGTCTGCAAAAGGAAATATGGCGCTTCATAAGAGGTCAATGAACGGAGGTGAAGCAATTAATAGAACCAAAACACATAGAAAAGGATACGTCGATTGACTACCTAAAAAAACTAAATGCAGAGGAAGAACAAACGGCGCTAGAACCGGAAACGCCCGAAATCACCACAAATTAAGAACTTAGTATAAATGTACATGAAGTTAATATAAAAGCAGCAGGTAAAGACGGAATACCAAATGAATTACTGAAATATTGTGGAGCAGCAATGACAAAAAATTAACAACATTACTTAATAAAATTATAAAATACCGGAAGATTGTAGAACGAGCGATCTAATTCTACTATAAAAAAAGATAAAAACAGCCAGAAAACTACAGAGGTATAAACTTATTAAATACTACTCACTTATAACTAAAATTTTCACCATCAGTTGGCGCTACAGCCCTTCGTGAGCCTTGGCCTGCTACAAAACATTCTTCCATCCTTCCCTATCGAGTGTGTCTTCTTCAGCCCCTCACTCCAATCTCCCTCAGATTTACATCGTCCAGATATCTGAGTTTAGGTTGCCCCCTTCTTCTTCCGACCGGCGTGTTTAACATAGTTATTTTAGTGGGATCACTCTCATCCATCCGCATAACGTGGCCCACCCACCTTAGGCGGTTTATTTTGATGGTCTTCACAATATCTGCATCACCAAAAAGTCTATAGAGTTCAAAGTTATATTGCCTTTTCCCAGACCGTGTTCGTTTACTCGGCCATATATGCTCCTCAATACTTTTCTTTGAAAGACTCGCAGTAACTCTTCATCTCGGGTCGTCATTGCCCATGTTTCCGATCCGTATGTGAGCACTGGGCGTATTATTGTTTTATAAAGTTTGCACTTTGTTGCTATTGACATACTTCTCGCTCTTAGTTGAGGGCCCAGGCCAAAATAACAGCGGTTAGCCACGCATATTATTTTTTTAATCTCTTTGGATGTGTTATTTTTCTAGTCTACCAGTGATCCTAAGTAGCAGAATTCTGCTACAATTTCTATCGTTTCGTGTTGCACCTCTAAGTTATTTTGTTGAATTCTTGATATGGCCGGCATATATTTAGTTTTCTGTATGTTAATCATAAGTCCAATGTTTTCTGCGGCATTTTTGATATATGTGAAAGCCTCCACTGCTTCATTTTGGGTTCTTCCAATTATGACGATATCATCAGCGTATGCCATTATTTCTATACTACGGGTATATATCGTACCTAAGTTTATTCCCGAATCTCTCATAACTTTTTCTAACGCTAGGTTGAACAGCGTGAACGATAGCGCATCTCCCTGGCGCAGTCCTCTGTTGGTTTTAAATGGTTTTGAAACATCCCCTTGTACCCGCACTTTACATTCGACTTTCATCATTGTCATTTTAATTCATTCTACCAATCCTTTTGGTATTCCTAATTCGATCATCGCCGAATATAATTGGGACCAGTCAATAGTATCGTACGCTGCCTTAAAGTCTACGAAGATGTAATGACAGTCTATGTCGTACTCCGTCGTTTTTTCTAATATTTGTCTAATGGATGATATGTCATCAATGGTAGATTTGTTTTTCAAGAAGCCTCTTTGGTAGGATCCTATTATATTGTCAGCATACCGTTCCAGTCGTTCGTTAAGTATCAGGGACACAATTTTGTATGCTGTATTAAGAAGGGAAATCCCTCTAAAGTTGGAACATTCAAGAACGTTTCCTTTTTTGTGTATGGGGCATATAATTCCAGTATTCCAATCTTCTGGTAACGCGTGTTCTTGCCATACCTGTATTAGTAGTTTGTGAAAGAGGGTTACAAATGTTTGACCGCCACATTTAAATATTTCTGCGGGTAGGTTGTCTGCTCCGGGTGACTTGTTTCTGGCTAGAGACAGAATTGCTTTGTTTATTTCTTCCAAAGTTGGTAGTTCAGTACTAAACTAAAACTAACTGGTAACTAAAATTTTAGAAGTACTAATAAATCTGAGGATAAGTTTAGCAGATGAACAACAGGGTTTTCATAGTGGAAGATCGTGTACAGATGCAATATTCGTTATAAAGCAAATTACTGAGAAATCAGTAGAGTATAATTGGATTCAGATGGCGCAAAATCTGACTAAGTGGAAAACAAGCGAGAGGCCTATGATCAGCAGTTTACATTAGATGCTATTTGATGTTAATGATAATAGACCGGCATTTCTGTGTCTGAAAGACCTAAAGAATGCGTTTGGCAGAGAAAACTATCGAAAACATCTACCAAAACAACACAATGGAAGTAAGAATAGACGGACAACGTATCGAACATATAGAAATAGGCATCGGAATAAGACAAGGGGATTCATTGAGGCCCATGCTCTCTTCAATTTGATCATGGATGAAATTATCAAAAGCGTTTACAAAGAAAAAGGATACATAATAAGAAACAAAGAAATAAAAATACTCTGTTACTTAGATGATGCAATATTGATAGCCCAAGAGACCTGGGCAAAGAACGGAGAGATCAAGTCCAAAAAGCAAGTAGACTGACAGGATGCTTTAATAACATTATATGGCGAAACAGACACATTAACAGTGAGATGAAGTCAAGAATCTATAAAGTTAGTGTAAAACCAATAATGACATATGCCTCAGAAACAAGACCCGAATCAGCCACAACGTAAATGCTACTGAAAACGGCAGAAATGAGAGTGCTGAGAAGAATTACCGGAAATACG